GAGGCTGCGGTGGCCGGGAGCGGCCACTGCACTCCAGTCTGGGCGACAGAGTGAGACTCCAACTCAAAAATAAAAAAAAAAGAAAAAGAAAGAAAGGCATAGAGCCGGGTGGGTGGCTCACACCTGTAATCCCAGCACTTTGGGAAGTGGAGGTGAGAGGATTGCCTGAACTTGGGGGTTTGAGACTAGCCTGGGCAACTTGGCTAGACCTCGTCTCTACAGAAAATAAAAAATTTAGCCAGATGTGGTGGCACACACCTGTAGTTCCAGGTACTTGAGAGGCTGAGGCAGAAGGATTACCTGAGCCCAGCGGCTTGAGGTTGTGGTGACCGTGATCATGCCACTGCACTCCATCCTGGGCGATAAAGTAAGATTCTGACTCAAAAAAAAAAAGGTACAGACATTCTATTTTCTTGTAGCTTTCAAAACTTTGGCTGTTTTATAGAGTTTGTCACCAATAGTCTCATTAAGTACTAAACTGAGCCTTGTGCTTTCTGTGCAAAAGAAATAGAACAAAGCATGTTGTAAGGTTGTGACCAGATATATCCCAGCACTAACTATTTCCCTAATGGGAAAGTAACTGATATGGGAATATGAGTTTTCAGGAAGACGACTGATTGAGAAGAAAGAAAATGCTGTTAGGATTCTGACTGGGCCATCCTACTGACCACCTATGGAGTCTGTCCCTAGTTTTGCATGAATGTCCAGCTGTGGGCCAGCTGTCCTTGTTGATGAGTACCCGGTTGTCATTTCCAGATACCATTTATGATGAAGATGAAGTACTTTTAGCCCTTGCTGAACAGCTGGGAAATTTCACAGGCCTGGTGGGAGGTCCTGACTTTGCCCACTGTCTGCTGGTGAGTATGCATATGCTGCCCACCCTTCTAGAACTTTTGCAGTATAAATGATACGTTGTTTGGTGATAGGCCCCCTCTGCACTTTTTGTGTAGATAATCATAATGTTAGCCATTGAGAGAACAAATAACGTAGACACTTTGGACTCAACCCTTCTTATTTTTTTCTATGAATAAAAGCACTTTCTCTTTTTCTGCCTTTGTAGACTTTATTAACTTAGAGGTGGGGAGAAAAAAGATTTGATGTTTTTTTGTTTTGTTTTGTTTTTTTGTTTTTTTGTTTTTTTTTTTTGAGTTGGAGTCTCACTCTGTCGCCCAGACTGG